GGGGGGGGGTGTGTGTTCTCCAGTTCAGAGGCTTCTGTCATTAATCCTTCAACATTGTGGTAAAAATGTGCAGTAGACATTGAAATCTAGTATATCCCATTGCCACAGGACCTCATGGATACTAGATGTGGACATGAGTTCAAGGGGAACCCAGACAAAGTAATCAAAGAGAAATCCATTGAGTGCTACTAGATAAGTAAACACCTCTAGTTCAAAATGTCCCATAGGTGAAAATGGCTGAAAGTTGGAAGGATATTAGGAGGAAGAATTACCTCCTCTTCCTGCTCCTGTGCTTTCTGATGCATCTGCTTCTGGTCTTGGACTAGGTGGACCAGCCTGGCCAATCTCCTGTTTGTAACGCCTTGAATGCACCCATAAGGACTCAGAGCCTACCCTCCAGTTGGTTTTACTCGTGGTTTTGTTTATTTGTTTTCTCCAATTAGCTGCTTGCTCGCTCTTTCTTAGTTCCTCAGAAAATGAGCTAGTAAATGTCATAAAAATCAAAACAATAGAAAATGGATTTCTCACAGCAGTGCTTCCACAAGAGGTGTGTGGGTGCACAGAATAATACCTAACAACTTAAGCATCTTAAGTGGATGACGGACAGCTTTTTAATTAGCACACTCCCCTGGAACTTGAATGCAAATGTGGTGTTACTTTTTGGAAGAGATGCTTTTTGTGTACCAATGCCTAACGTGCTAAATTAATCTCTAAATTAATATGAATAATGATATCTAAAATAAGTGATTTTTAGCATGGGATTTAGTTACAGTATAAGATCCATTAACAATTGCATGTTCAGTAAAACTTCTGTAGATATACTGTATTAATGACATTATAATAGACATATCAACTATTGATAAGATCTTCAAGGTGTGATTTCTTTCTCTTATGTTTTTGTTTTTTTGCTCAGAGGAATGCAGTAGCATGGATAGTTGATGGCGAATTTGGAGCAGACGACTTCAGTTTAACTTAATTAGTCGTATTTTAAATGGCTTGGGATTTGGTGCAAACAAACATGATTGATAGCTGGACAGACATGCTCGTCATGAAAAAGAACCATTTCTGAAGCCCGGTTGGGGCCAAACATTTACCACCTTGCTTCATAGTAACCAGTCAAGATGAAGCACGTCGTTAGAACGTTGTCGGACACCGTGTTGAAATTTACCCCCCCGCATCGGTTGTGAAGAACTGTGCTACATTCAGGCTAACCATTGAACTCAGTATATATATTTTTCCCTCCTGCCTTTTTGTCTGGCAGGCTACTGTTCTTGTTGCTCTTCTGTGTAATGAAGTTTAAATGCTTGTTTGGAACACTTTATTTAACAGTTTAGAAGGCTTGATAGAAAGAGTGCTTTAGTCTGAAGAGTATACATTGGATAGGAAAGTATTTCCTTCTCTTGTTTCTCAAGTCTCTCTCCGCCTTACTTAGCTTGAGATCTTTGCAGCTTGGTTCATGGATTCTAGCCTTGCCCGTTGCGCAGTATATATAAATTGAGATGATAAACCAATGAACTATGTCAAAAGCACTCTCAGTATCACATTTGACAAAAAGTTTTGTACTTTTCACATAGCTCGTTGCCCTGCAAAGGGGTTAACAGCACAATTTTTTAAAAATAAATTATTTATAGGATTAAAATGACTTCATTTGTATACATTTGGAATTAAAACAATGCAAGAAGTGTCGTGAAACACGGTATCACTGATGCTTTTCCGGAGTGTCTTGAGACCCACTCAAAAGCAGTGGCTGGAAGGAGCTTTACGTAGGCAGTGAAGCTTGCGTTAGAAGGAGAAACTCACTGTCCATCTTTTACAGATTTAGGAAAAAAGCATTCAGAGTGCACCACCAGACCAAGAGTTTAAACAAGATGAGGTCTTTTTGTGTTGGTTTTTTTTTTTTTTTTTAATTACATAAATATATGCAACAATGCTGGTAAAAGGTAGACTACAACTCGAGGGAAGAATGTGTTGAATCCTTTCTTCACAAAGTCAACATTTTGTAAAACTAATTAACATACAAATCATAATTAAACCCTTGTATTATGATGGAAATTTTTTCTTTGATAAACAAAGGTGTATAGATTTTCTTTTTGAGAATATACTTTTAACTTTGCAGATCTAAATGCCTCTCCCAGACCTTGTTGCAAGCTGGTGCTGTGAACATCTTGACACGTCTAGGAATAGTTCTGCTAATATCCCGTGTTAAGAAAAGAGAAAGACATTTATAATTTAAGTATTTATTCTTTTTGCCGTAAACAGATGCCCTGGCATCTCTGTGCTTCTGCACTACACACACGTTCATGATGGGATGGCACTGGATTCCCTTTTGCCACCTTGGGTGGAAAGGTAGCGTTGGTGCTGCTGTGAAGTAAAGAGGGAGCAGGGTAAGACGTGCCACCGAGAGTTGATGTGAACAGGAGTGTGGACTTCATCCTTTAATGAGATAATAATCTAGTGTCCTCATTAGTCATGTGTGGAAGAAAGGTGGGGGAAGGTTTGCTGGAGTTCCTGGGAAGAGAAGTGTAGCCACTTTGATGGATGGGAACGTGGTGTTTAGCATAAACAATCCCTTTTTTTTTTCTTTCCCAGAAAAACAAAGTCAAACTTAGCAGGTTAGACTTTTTTTAGATCCCAGCCATCAGGTGGTGGTTCATTTTTTCGTTTTTTTTTTTTTTCCCCTTGCCTTGTGTGTAAACTTAAACATCATTTAAGATTCTGATACTTTGGTTGAGACCAGCCCTGAATCTGACATGCTCCTCTCTTAGGACCTCAAAAATGAAGTAGGAACTTAACGTTCTTCTCTTCAATCTAGTACTTTTGTCTCAAAATTAAGGTGACTTTCTTTGATAGCAGTTACCATTCCACAGGACTGGGAATACATGTGTAAATGGCAAGGCTTCAGATCAGTTCCTTCTTCCATTATGCTAGTTCCAGAGGAAGCTGGCTGTTTCTCTTCCTAGTTCAGACGGTGTAAGATTAGTCGGTCTTGTTCCTGTGGCATCAGTGTTGCAGGGAAACAGAAAACTTCCTAAGGTCAAATTTTCGTAAGCTAAACGTTTGGGTTTTAAATAAAAATTGAATACCTAAATTGTAAACAGTATTTTATAGGTTCAAAACATGGTATAATTCATAACCAATGCCAGTATGTGAATCTTTGGAAGTTACCCTAGCATGGTCTTACTCTGGAACTTACATTTTTCAAACAAAACGTTGTTTAGAGAGAGTAAGGAGAATAACCCTGGTTTTGATGTCTCTTAACAAGGTCTCCTACAATGGTCTGGCACTACTTGCTTACCTCATACTCATGGGACTTCAGTGGGAACTTCAGGCAGGTGGCAAAGGCTGGATCAAATCTCAAGTTTAGATTTCCAGTCTCATATACACTTCAGCAGGCATTTTTAGTGTGGTGGCCATACCTAAGCCAAGTGAGACTCCTTACCTGGTGCAAGCCGTGTGGGGGTGTGTATGGGCTGACGCCTACTTTCCACTGCAATGCATTGTAATTAGAAATTTAAACATAGTACTTTTGCCAAAATACTGCCCCTCCGTTCTGGGGTTTCTCTTCAGGACTTGGTTTGTACCTCTAAAATACACTTCAGGTATTTAGGAGCAGAGTTAGGGAGGAGGACACCTTCTGGTATCTCCACTTTAGTTTCGTGGTGCAACTATGCAATGTAAAGGGAAGCTCCGTGGAGACGGCAGAGTTTGCAGAGTGTCTCAGTAACGGTACGTTGCACAGCTAGCTGCCTCTCGCAGGTGATGAGCAAGGTGAGAGAAAGGTGAGAGCAACCTTCATTTTGCCACACTACTTGGTCCCGCAGTAATCTGATGTTAGAGATCTAGAGGTAACGAGTACCACTTCAACCTGTAGATTAAAGAGGAACCTAAACTATTTCTAACGTGTCACGTATTCACAATACGTGAATTGAAAAGTACCAATACTTTTTGTGCACAGACTATAAAATGAGGTGGGGGGGAACAAATAAGCTTGCTCATTTGCAACACGTTGATTTCCATGTGCTTAAAAATGTTCATAGGCTGGAGTCTAAGGCTGGAACAAGTACGCGCCTGCAAAATGACTGTTTCTAGTCAACAGACCTATGGCTTTAGAGAGGAAAATAGTGTAAGTGCGTGCTCCTTTTGTAACTTTCTCTGGTCAGCTGTTGGCTTCAAATATTCACAGTAGCCCCCAGGTTCTTGTCAAGGCAGATTTAAGAAAAAAAAAAAAAGTAACGCTGAAGCATTTTATTATCTGAATGTTCTTTAGCTGTTCAGGTAAGTAATTTTCAAGGCACAATGGAGCACAAAAGGGAAAATGCTAGATCTGTCCTTGTTTGGGAGGGGAGGGTAGTGGGGGGGAAATGACACCTTTTGTTTTTCAATTCCCTCTGTCTTTTTGAAAGTTCTCCAACTTTAAATTGAACTTCTTTTTATGATTAGAGCAAAGATGCAAGCTAGAAATCTATCCAGATCTTGCCAGTTACTTCTCAGCTTGGCTTCAAACAGGTAACGTTTAATAAAACTCGACATGTTCTTGGGAGTTTGTGTCCAGCTGTTTACTTCTACCCTGCTAAGTGATACTCCCACCCAAAATCACTTTTGAAGGCTTCCTTAGCAGGAAGCCAGGACTCTTACAATTACCTGTAGTTCGAGGGGTGATGATGTATCCCAAATGGGGGGGGGAGAAAGAGGAATGGATGTAAAAAGCAGGATTTACTGCCCAACAAACTACTGTAACTCAAGGGGGAGGAGGAAAAATGCACTTTCAATAGTCTGTCCATATTTTTAGCTAGAAAATACACTTGTATCTAATTTTTTTTTGAGGCGACTATTAAGAGGAACACCCATCCCATAAATGGCTAATCCTCCTTTTGACCTCCTCCTGTCTTTTCCAGATTGGCTTCAGTCCATTTTCAGCTGCCATACTTAATTTTGAAAACTGCTACTTTTAACGATGTTTAGAAAGAAAGAAAAAAAAATAAATCATTAACTCTGACACTTTTTTTAAAACAGGGTGGACTTAATTGAAGTGCGCAGTGTTGAACTACTGCTGCAGTAGCTGCCTCTAGTTGTTGAAATAAACTGTAGACAAGTTTTCTGTCTATTAATCCAGATAATCTGGATTCAATAAAATGTCTGAGTGTTCCTCCCATCTGGTATGAATGTGCGTGTGCGTGTGTTCCATAAACAGACAGAAAACCAAATGTTCTAGGTACTTGACATGTTTTATTGCATACTTTTAAGTCGTGTGTATGTGAAGTGTCCTTTGACCGGAAGGTTTTGGTTAATATCAGTATATTTTTATAAATTTGAAATTCATTGTGCCCCATTTTTTTTCTTAAGCATTTTTTCATTGTTAGGGCATATGTGCTAGACTTGAATCTTAACATTTTTAGGCACAGATGGAAAAAGTTATTGGCTCCTCGAAAACATATGGGACAAAATGGATCCTCAAAGCATGTATGTACTTACAAACCAAGCTGTAGAGATCAAGAAAAGAACTTTATTGTTGATCTCAAGATTTCTAAATTGTCAAGATTTATATGGAGTTGTGGTGGAACTAGTTAACACTTAGAGCTTTTGGTATGTAATGACTATTTGCTATGGACTGATATTAAATGTTTCAAAGGATTGCGTTCTTAAACTTTCTGGATTTTTGTTACTCTCCTCGGATTATATTAAGTAGTTAAAAATTTCTTTGCTATATTACATTAAAAACATAAGAACTTTGGGTCTCGTATTTATTTTCACTCGTTTTACTAATTATTTACAGAACACCGTTTTAACTTTTTTATTTTATAAATGTGTAGTATTTTAAACATATCTTTAAAAATTGTTCAATTGGAACTACATTAACTTCTGATTTGTTTTTATTAGGATTTTTAAAAAAAAAAATACACTTTTTCCATGTTGGTGCACAGCACTTAACAGAAATGTTTGTATTCCCTTTCTTTCAATTCAATAAACAGAATAAATAACTGGAATGAACAGTTCTTAGTTTCCCTAACTTCACTTACATGCCTATGACTTGGATGTTCATTTCTTGATCATTAATTATAGACTTCTTCCATAGTTGTAGTATTTCACTTCTGCACTAGGAAAATTAATTTGTGGTGGTTTAGCCGAAGATGAATTCGCTCAGTGTTGTGTGCAGGCTTTCCAGCTCTTGACGCTTGGCTCTAATCTACCTCACGCTTGTGTTTTCACTACATATAGCAGTCAACTTGCCTGTGTCCCGTCCTGTGCTTATCTGACTTGTTGAATGTCTACTCCTTTGAGGTGCTGTGAGAGCCTTGATTCCTTAACGCTGGAGCTTGCTTAAATACCAGACAGAGGTTGCTTTAGGTGATGGGTGGGTTTTGTGGCGGTCTTTGGTATTTCATATTAAGCAGGTGCTCCCAGAGTACTTGGACCTCTTGCTTAGACTTTTCTTAAATGGCAGATTGGGGACCTCCAGACTTCTAGTTGACATTGACCTAAGTGGATTCTGTGGCTGAGAACTCTTCAAGAGACCTCCCAGGCGTTGCCTTTGTTCCCTTCAACTAACCCCATGTTCTTGTCCCTCTTCCCTGTGCCTTAAACCAGAACCTAATCTGTGTCCTGCATTTTAGGCATTTTTATTCAGGTCTAGTTAATGTTCTCTTAAATAAAAAGCTGTGCCTAAATTTGCCTTCCCCTTCCTGCAGCTTTTCCAAACTCAAACCTTTTGCTGAAATGCATTCACTGTTTAAATTCTTTTAGCTTCTATACTGATTAGAAAAGGTCTTTACTCCCTCTAGCAGCACCTCTGTATTAACCTTCTTATTACCCTTTGAGCAGTGTTTAGGTAATCATGGCTTAAACACAGGTGCAAACAGAAGGGGCATGCCTTATCCCTGTCCACGTGCTGCTTTGTGCTGCTTCCCTTGGGTACCAGCATTCGCGGGAGGGTTGCAGACCTGCTTCAGCCGTAAATGAGCCGCAGAGCAGATGAGGGAAGTTTTTTTTTTTGGCTGGGTTTGTCAGCCTGCTTCATGTCCTGTCCTATGCCTGCCTTTAACTGGTGAGAAAGTTGCAAAAGGGACAGGTACATGATTTCTACAGAACTGTGAAACTTCACCATATGTAAGATTTAAAATGAATTGTCTTTTTTCTTTTTTTTTTTTTTTTTAAACCCTTCAGGTTGTTTAAAAGCAATTACATAAGGAACCTGATTGTGAAATGCTCATCTATCAATCAGCTTAAACCCAAACTCTGCCTGAGGTGGAGTACTTCTCCTAGGGGGACAGGTTCTGTTTTACTCTGCCACTTTACACCTTGGCTTACGCTTTCTGCACTGCCTGATGCATCCCACTGACCTTTGTGTGGCCCTCAGGTTTCTGCCAAAGATAAGGCGGTTAATGTACAGGTAACTGCACGGTGGTCAGTAACAGCCTAAATTTTTCTGTTGCCACCTCTAATCTCATTACTATAATATCTTTAGAGGCAAAAAAGGTCTTACCATTTGTACAAAGTTCTAGAGAGCATCTCGTGAGAAAAAAGAATTAGATTAAAGCTATGCCAATACTGAACATATAAAGATTTTCTTTTATGGGCTTATCAGGGTTTTGGGTTGGTTGTTAACCTGCATGTAGAACTGTGCTTAGGGCTACTAGTCATACTATTAATCCCACTGCTTTACTATGTTCCATAATACAGGACTTGTTTACTAGAGTAACAGAACACAGAAGTAATTTACTAAAATGAGGAGATAAGTATATTCTTTAATAAAACAAGATAACCACCAGTCTCCAATGGTAATGATTAATTAGGGGGAAATAGGCTATTGTACATATTTTAACTAACTCCCCCCTCCCAAGTGCAGTACTGTAACAGCTATCTGATCCCTCTGAAAACTGCTGAATGCCTTAGCAGGCTGACCGGGCTCTAGACCTTGGGTAAGGAAAAGAGCTTAATAAACCTTGCTTAGAAGTTAGAAGCCCTGTAGGCCAACTTCAGATTTATTTTCCTGGATTAAGAGCTTTCTCTAAATCACAGCTAATAATTTGAAGGATAAGCTTCCCTCATTAAGTTATACTCTGACACCTCAGTTCCATAGAATGAATAGGAGGGAATCTCTGGTTTGGTCTCACGCTGATTCATAGTGATAAAGTCAGGTGAATTTTTATTTAAAATCAGTCTAAAGTTTGTAATTGTCTTGAATTCTGTACAGTAAGCTTGGATTTATATTACCCTGACCCAGAAAGTAGAGAGTTTGTTTTGATTTTGTACTACTGTAAAATCTCTGCGCTCTGTGGCTCTCCCACGGGATAAATGCCTGTAGGATCCCTATTTCCAGCCACTGAACTACATTTTTAGCAATTACAAATACATTTTTCCCATTGCTGACAAAGATCTCAATGCGGATCTCTGTTAAAGTGGGAAATGACCCTCTCCAGTAAGGAAAGCTTCAAAATTACCAGTGCAATTGCTCAGCAGAATTGTAATCTCCGGAGCCTGCTACTGAGGTTTTTACAATTATTATAACACAGTGTTAGATACAAACAAGCAGAGAACTTATTTCTATAAAGAAAGTGGGGTGGGAAGTTTGCATTCATATAAAAGTACAGCTTGTTTAATATTTGACAGCCACCACTTAAAAAACATATCTTGTTGGTCTGTCATGGTTAATAATTCATTCTTGAGGAAAAGCAGGGAGGAATCCACAATAACATCCTTCTAGGTCAGCGATATAAATTGAGACATATTCTACCCCTGGGTTTTTTTGGGTTTTTTTTTGTGTAGATGTGTTGTTCTTTTCCCTTATCCTTCCCTGTCCTGCTCCCATCTCTGAAAAAACACTTCCCTCAGTAGAGGAGAACAGAAGCTTTTCATAGCAAGTGATAAATTTTACCAAGTCCATTAGGGAATAGGCCTACCTTATCTAATGTCAGCACTACACTTCTGAGGTGCTAGTAGTTAGAAATCATTGAAGACAGCGTATCTTACAAACTTTTCCATTAATAATAAATTTCTTATCTCAAAATCATGTCTTTAGAAGATATAAAACTGCCAGTCTAAGTGGTGGACTTACAGATTAATGGTCATGTTTCTCACTGTGAAACATCATTAATGAAATTTATCTACTGTTAGCACTACAGCAAGGACTAAAGCAGCTTACGCTGCCCTTTCTTCTAACAGGTAAAACCCAACATGTGTGTAGCATGTTTTCTTCACATACAAGGTAACTTAATTGCCTACCGTGTAAGCAGCTACAAAAGTTACTGACTTTCCTCTTTTAAAGTTTTATTTGCTCTCCTTTTTCCAGACCTACATCCTGTCTGGGTTTCAGCTTTATAAGGCAGTGCTTTCTGCGGTTTGACTTTTGTGGTGTCGAGTAGTCAGTGGCATGCAGCTGTGGTAGCTGTTTCCCTAGTTAGTTTATAACTAGCATAATTTTCTGCAGTTTTTCATCTTTGCAACAGCTGAACTTGGACTCCGCCCATCCTAAGTTTAAAGCCAAACTTCTCCTATAACAAACATTGAGCACAAGGTATCTAGAGAAATCAAGCTCTGGTACTGTCTTTTCACTGCTGGCCATGAAAACCATCTGCTAACTACAGCTATACACCAAAGAACAAGTACTTAAGAAGGAAAAGCTCATACATTTTAGGCTTTAATTACCGAACTGTATTTTTAAGTGTTTCACTTCATGTGTTTGTTTCAAAAAACTTGTTTCTATGCACATATAAAAAATGTAAAGACAGTGAGGGTACAAACTCAGGTTTATATACTTGTCACTGATGCAAGAGCTACACAAAAAGAACTTGGTTTGCTGGTGTCTTTGAAGCAGAGTCACATCAGAATTGGGATAACCGGGTTATGGTTTACCAGACCACCTCCCCGAGCTGGACATACTCTTAATTCACTAGGTTCATGGAGTAGTGACTGCTGATAGTCTTTTGCTCTGTAACCAACTCTGACCCCGGTGCCATGTGATGTTTACTTTGTATGGCAGTCTCTGATGTATTTCAATGACAAAATAGGAGTTGAAGGGAAAAAACAAGTATTAATCGTGTTTCTTATTTATCTATTTTTCACTCTTACACACAAGCGTCACCTTCACCAAAGGGACCTTAATTCATCCAAATACAAGACTTCATATAGGTTGTTGGAGGGAGGGGTGGGAAGGGAGAAAAGTGTAACTTTTATTCCATTGCCTTTTAGCTGGAAAAAACACGGACACAAAGATGCAAGCTGTGCTACTGTTCCACTTTGAAATCTACCTTCCAAGCGCTGCTTTCAACTAGGCTCTAACAAGACAGCTGACACCGTTCAGTAAGAAGCAGACATCAGAGCTGCACTTAAATTTGTTCTGGAACTACCACTATTATCAGCCCATGCTGGTGAAATGAGTTTCCCTTCTCACCATTTAATTCCTACAGAGATCAGTTCTGGAAGCAAGGATTTCACCTTACAGAAGCAGCAGTTCAGGTTGTAAAGGAACAAAAACAACTGCTACACAAATCCAATGTCTTTTGAAAATATTTTATGTTAAAAATACAGAAAAATATTTCTTGTTCAAAGAGGAAAAATATACTGCATGACGACACTGATCTAGGTATGTTCGGAAGGTGTCTGTGGCTCCACAACCAGTCACTGGAGTGATGACCCAATTTGGCAGCTAATGGTTCTTTTTCAACTTCTCAATCATTTATCAAAGCCAGAATCATACTGCGACAAAACAGAAAACACGGTACCAGTGGATTACTGAAGCATGTGCAAGTAGGAACAGCTATCGCTTTCATGAGAGAACCACACTTGATTCTGAAGTAGAAAGTCAAGGCAGTTACACTACATGCTTTGCTTATGAAGACAAGGACTGCAGAAGTAATACTGCAGTGGAAGAGCAGTAGCTCTTCCATCTTGTAGTTACGCGGCCCCATCACAGAACTCATCCATTTCTAGCTTACCCAGACCAACCTTATTTCCTAAACCAGAACTTGTAAAATAAACTTGGTCCTCAAGATGATTTCCATTCTAAAATTGGCTAATTATTCTAAGTGCTGAAATCATACAACTCTTTATATTGTACTTACAGTGGGTTTGAGATTAACGAGTAGTCTGAGTTTCCAAACAATGTTTGATCAGAAAGAATAAAGGCATATAATGAGCCTGCAGATAGCTGTCAAAATGTACTATGGAGGTTTAGCAGGATGCAAAAAGATAAGACACTTAAGAATACCAGCAATTACACCAGCAGAACAGAGGAGATAAAAATAGCTGGCAGACAATTCTTTTGTTCCTTGGGAGCAATGTTTGAAACCAACCTGTAAAGGTACATGAAGAAGCAGAGCAGATGAAAGCCTAGTTTAATCATGGCTTCCTTCATGTGTGATTTCAGTTGTCCTCGGTTATGGATCTCTGTGGGATCAAATACCCCCATGTTTCCACTTGGCACCATAATGTACCTGAATGTTTAAGAGAAAAAAAAAAAAACCAACAGGAGTATAGTCATCAAAACATTAGGGACTGTCACGGGAAGAGTAGGGGGAAAGCTTGCACAGAAGGGACTTCCATCTAAAGAGCTGTTTCACAATTCAACATAATGGAGCTCTTTTTTAATTCTATTTCAGTTTCAGGGTATTGCATGTATCTCTGCCACCACAATCCACAAACAAAGAATAAGAGAACAAGAAGTAGCAAAAGCATCAGCCTAGCTTCCCATGTATAAATGGGAGAGTTCCCAGAGAATAGCCAATTCCAGTTCATTTTAATTGCTGTTCGTGGTTACTTGGTGTTATGAAGGAAACGTCCAACCACAGTGGAAAGATGCATTAGATGAAAGGGACTGGAAAAGAATTAATTTAGCTATGAATTAGTGATTTATTTAAAGAAAACAACACATAGATAATCACAAATTCCAGCGGTCAAAATGAGATAGCATAAGACAAGACAAAGGATCTGTGTACGATTCCCATCTTTGTCACAGCCATCCTGCGTTATCTCCGCAGAGACTCTGAGGCTGACAGGATGAGAGATTGGGCAGAACTGAAGAAGTTAAGTACTGCTGTCCAAACCCACGTAAGAATAAAAATTGAGTGAAACAAAGTGAAATGTAAGCAAAAGGAAGAATAAAACCAACAAAACAAATGCTAATGTACTGTGAAAATTCAACAAGCAGCATATTCTTTTGTCATAAGCATTTCTCAAGAGAGCAAATGCAAGCACATGAAGCTCTCACTCCAGCCAAGCTCAGCCTAGAACAGTATTATTATTTCACTTAAATATCATACAGGCTCTACCTTCCTGGAATAATACTCTTTCTACACAGGAACTTAACTCCTGGTCTTATACCTGGAGCAAAAGCAAGGTCTCAGAAAAGAACACTTTTGATTGTCTTTATATACTCGAAGAATGGCACCACTTGTACTCCAAAAGGCACTCCCTCACCTCTTACAACATTTATTTCAACAACGGGAGGGGAAGAAAGGGAACAAGAAACAAGGATGCTTCCTATCAGCAGGAGACAAAAATAATAAAAAAGAAGTTAAGACCATAGTATTTGTCTTTCTTTCACAGAGGCATTAAAAAGCCCTGCAGCATATTTGATTAATAACAAAAGACAATTATGTTCCATTAAAAGTATTCATGTGAAATAATTACCATTTGAAAGTCTCTTCTAAACTTGAAGTTTTAAGCAATATTTCTATTTTTAGTATTGTAACACAAATTATTGTCCATTTACTGGACATGTAATGCATTTTATTGGAAGAAAAGGAAGAACACAAGTTTCCTGTACCGATTTATCTTAGAAGTAGAGCGTGTAGTTTCCTTATATATCTAGGATACAAGTGCCATAAAGGTAGTATTTATTAATTTTTCTTTTTAAGAAGAATTATAACACTTAAATGATGCAACTTAATTAAAGCTTGCAGAAGTTGGGAGGTAGTATTTCCAAGAGACCCACAAGCCAGTGCAGCTAATATTATACATCTAAGGAACTGTAGTCATGGCCACAACGATGCTAGATGCTGACAAATACAACTCAAGCCAGTTGTCATACTCTCAACAGCAAAAATCCTCTGCAGCAAAACCACATAGAACAAGAAAACTGTCAGTTTTAAAGAAGACACACATTAGTGCCTCCGGTATCTACATTCAGTGGAAGTGGCTGCCACAGCAACAGGACGTTTCCCTTTATATTACACAATTTGTAAGGGACGAGGAAATCTTGGTCAGAATTTTCACTGTATTTTAAAGATTTTTAATTTTTTTTTCCTCTTTCAGTTTTAAGAGGGATACAACCTACTTAAAGACATGACAAGAATCACATTATTTTGACCTATTGTCTCAGGTATGTCTATATAACAAAGAAGGGAAGTGTTCTTTTTCTTTAAGAGTTGCTTTCTTTTTGTCTAGTCACATTCAACATTTCCTTTGTAATTCTTGCTTCTTTTATATAGTAGCAGAAATATTTAAGAGCTAAAAAAATACCTATTTTGAAATATGATTAGGTTTCAAATAAACCACTTCAATATCTAGTTTTAAAACAAAGGGAATATAAGACAAAACTGTGTCTCACTGGAGATTGCATAAGTCATTACAAAATTCAGCAAGAAATAAACCAAATTAAATGAGCAACTGAGTATGCAGAATTAGGGTCAGTAGGATGTTACAATAAACATGCTGCAACTTTTGAAGTCTTCCCTGATGCTGTTTTTGACCAATTTATCTTCCTCAGGATTTGTTTCTGATGCCCCTTTCACAGAAAACCTCTCCACTCTCACTGAAATCACTGAGACAGTTAGCAAATTAAGCCAGTACTGCCTGTAATTATACCATTTACTAATCAAGATTAAGCAGGTTTTGAAGGAAAGAGAATAAGGGGAAAAGTATTATTGTCCTATCTTTCTCTATTATCACTTAGATATACTACAAAGCACGGACTTCTTCAATCTCAACACAGTTATTTTGATTTCTGTATTCATCCTGGAGTAGAATAATAATCTCAAACCTTTCTGAATTCATGTGCAGCAACACTTACACCAGAAATTGGTTCATGAAATACTATAACATACAAAGAAGATTCAAACACGTTCAGCTGATGCTGGAAGTTTGCGGCTCATTGTAACAGGTTCACACTTCATCTATTCCCACTTAATCCTATTTTAGTCATTGACACCTTCTCCTCTCTTCAGTGTATTCAAACTGCTCTACAGTCCAGCACTTTTCTGACTACCATACCTTTTGTCCATTGAACACTGGGTCAAATGTAAGTTCTATCCCAAATAATCAGATTTCCTTTGTAACACTGAACAACACATTGTCTGATTTTGCAGACCTTTAACTCCTTCACTATAGATGGGATATTCCAGGCTATTAACGTGAGTGAAACTCCTCAATCCTCAGAGAGAAGGCAGGATTAGCAATACAGGTTTAACATTTTGACTTCTTGTGGCAGGGCAGGCAAAGTATCACATTGTCATATTCATTTATTGCCTATACCGCACATCTAAAATTGAGGAAACAATCCTGGATTTTAGGATATTCAGAATGTCTGCCCCATGTAAAACAAACATAAAATGAGAGCTGTCAATTCAAAACAGCAGCCAAAGCTTACTGCCGGAAGCGTGGAAATAGAAATAACTGTATCTTTAAAATTCTCTCCAACCAGGTTTAGAAGGGGAAGCAAGTGGCTACTGTAAACATTAACATAAGTAAGCAGCAAAGGTGTAACCAGTACAAGAAATCTTCAAACCTTCAAAGAAAATGCATTCTCTCTAGCATCTATCCTAAATGAAACATTAAATACAAACTCCATACTTGCCAGCAGACACCAAAGGGAATACCAGTCATTTTTGTGCAACAGCGTACATACAGGTGGCCAAACAAAACTATCCCTATGTGTGTGCATTTAGGCAACATTTGTTTGTTAAGCATGCAAGTTATAGTGTTTCGTGTTAACTCCATCATAGAAACATTTGAAGGCTTTGCTAGCAGTTTTATAGAAAACACGGGTGGTAAATGCGTGGCTATTTTGCCCAAGAACAACAAGGTTATCAGTAAAGGGATCCTCAACTTCTTTTTAATGAGAGCTATGAAACCTCGTGTAATTTTACCAGCAACTTGACCCATCCCTGCAAATTGTTAGCCCTAGCAGCTTCAGGCAAACAAGAATTACAGCCACCTTTTCATACTTATATCTTAAACATTTGGTCTTTTGGACTTCCCGTAGTACAGTGATTAGAGATAATTTGTGACAAATCCACACTCAGTTTTACATGAGCATAACACCTGTAAAGGTTCAATTCTCTGCAATGGTATCAATGATCAAATGATACGATGTAAAAAGAACATTTCTGAACCGTCAGGCTCAATGTTGCCACGTGGAAACCCCTACTTTCAAGTAAACTCTTTCAAAGTGGTAGACAGCCCAGTATACAAAGACCAGTAACATGAACAGTTGTCTGTGATGATGAAAAGTCTGCAAACCTTTCCAAATACAAAGAACCAAGATGGGGGACCAAAACCAATGCAAACAGGGGGGAGAGAGAAGACAGTAAATGAAGGAGGGTGCGGGGACTAACACCACAGCTGGATGGTTTTACAACCATCAGCCATCCTAACCTAAGTACTCTTATGCTGATAGTGATACCAGGCACGTAGGCACAGCATGAAAAACGTTAACTGTGTTTGCAGTACTACTTCATAACCCCAATTAACACGCTATTGTTTCCTATGAACTTGGGAATGAGACTTACAAATCAAGATTCCTGGGCACTAGAGAGAATGTAAGGAAAGGCCAAAAGCTTCATATCCTTTACACTGTTGAGTTTCTTGTCATTTTAATTCCAAGGAGAGGAGAGTTTTACGTTAGATCCATGAAGACAGCTCAAGAACACAACTGAAACATCTCATCATGACATACTTCTCTTCATACTACACTTAAAGCTAAACTAGTAACAGTGGGGGAAAAAAGCACACAAAACCCTTTGCACTTACCTATATATATTCCATGTTGCTACTGGCAAATTAAGGAGAAAGATGAACCAGTGCAATGAAATAAGCATTAACACAGTTACAACAGCATGGCCAATCACCTCAGGGACCACCCACTGTAAAAAGGGAAGAAAAGAAAGAAGTTATATGCACAAACGTAAATTCCTTTTTGAAAAAGATCTATATAGAGTTATTATCTGATTCTAATCATGTCAGACAGAAAATTAATCGAAGAAGAAAATTCATGATTTCATCACAATATGGGGAAATTAATACCTTCAGACAGATTCCATGTGAGTAAGCCAGAAATCAGGCCCTAAGATATTATAACAGAGGTACTTTATCTAAGTGTTACAAAAATTTCTAGGTAGAAGCACAGCAGCTGTTTGAACACAACTATATTACGCAAGCATTTAAGGAAATGAGTTAAGAAAGTATACAGTGCTCATTTGAAATCACTGCAGAGAACATCAGATTTAGGAGTGAGAGGAGCAGATAATTAAAATCTGTACAGACACAGGACACACAGACACCCTCGGGCTTGGAACACATAAGAAAGTTAATCAATACGGAAACCGGCATAGTCAAATTGGGTCTGCCCCTAGCAATAACACATTTTTGGCTTGATAGCATCTGTAGCATTCTCTCTTACACAGAAAGAAAATACCTTTAAATCAAAGTGAACACCCTTGTGGGAAGGCCACATTGATGTAATGAAATCAGTTTTAAGGGGATTTGGTTAAAACAGTATTTCTCCTTATCACAGTAAAACTCTCTACTGTTCAAAAGAGGTTAGAAATTACACAGAAGCAGCAGAGAAAGTCGGTATGATGATCCCAGAGTTCAGTCACGAGTAGATATCCTTGGTGTGGCACACCTACGAGAACAAAAGCCCAGAACTCAAGAGCTCTGCAAAGACTTAAGTCTCAGTCCCATGAATTCAGAGCAGCAGCCCATCTCAGAGCACCAAGGGTCAGAAGAACAGCCTTTCCTAACTGAATTTGAGAAAGACGGGCACCCAAAAAAGACAAGCAGATTGAAATAAAGGATACATGCAAAATATTGCCAATTAGTGCTCTTCAGATATACATTACATCCCTGTTATTTGTGATGCTAAGATGAAGGACTGTTTTCTTAAAGCACATTAAATGCAAAGAATAATAATTTACTTTATTGAGTTTTGAGCAGCATGATCTAGCATTAATGTAGTCACATTCCAAATCTGATAATGTAATTATCTGATGTCCAAGATAAGGAAAAATTGTATGGTAACTCAGGATACACAAAGCTTTATTTTTATCCAGTAAGTTAGGGAGAGCCCCCTGCTCTCAGCGTACACTGTCTTGTTCTATTGCTGGTCTGCCAAAAGGATATTTCAATCAGTTACAGCTCATTCCTACTTTAGATAGAAAGCTAGGCCACACTTTATCATCAGGCCAAGTGGTTTTATGATGTTTTTCCAAGGGCAACTGTTGCACAAGTGCTAAAGTTCAGCTCAACACTTAAAACAGACCAAGGAGGCAAACTCAGTATTTTTAGTATCAGAATTATTACGACAACACCTGAAATCAGAACTTAAAAGGAAGAAAAAGTTAATGCACTTTTAAAACTCTCCTCACAATAAAGCTAAACAGTGCAGCTTTAAGAAGTGGATCTACTTTATTTACATTTACAGCAACACTGGATTAATTCATACTTTGCTAGGAAATAAGAGGGTAACATTGTTATCATGTGAACTTTCAGCAACTGAAATATGATATCGGAGACAAGGAAGTTCTCCCAAAAAAAAGGCTTAGCACATGCATATGCACATCCTCGTGCTACGTCCTGTAAAGCTCATGCTCTTTTACTCCAAGAAAATGAAAAAGCACAAGATTTTCTCCTATCCCTAAAGAAACAGGTAAAGCCTTTTCATTTTTCGACAAATAACTTATCCTTCTAGGATGAATTTCTTTCAAGTGCTTCTGTACTTTTTTCTGTTAGAAGAACTGGGTAGATCCTGAAATAACGCCAGGATGTGAAAGAGTATGAGAGACAATTCTCTTTTATTTAGGGAAGGGAAAAAAAAAAAAAAAAAAAAAAAAGAGAAAAGCAAGCCGAATCAGTGCTTTGACATTCTAATACCACCAGACAGCAAAAACTGCAGGCAAGTTTGTAACAAAGAATACGGAAATTCTGTTTCTCGAGGAACTCCCAGTCTCCTGGGAGCTAGGAGCTCACATCTAAAATGCAGTAAAGTATCCGTACAATTAAGAGACTATGGTCTGGCCGCATTTTTTTAGGCCTGGGTAGCTGCTGAGGGCGTGCAGCAGGCTTTCTCCACCCGTTTCTCTACACCGATGCCGAGCACATGCTGCTTCAGCCGAGGCGCGATGTATTTGCCACAGCACCGGCGGCCGAGGCCCGAGGCAGGTTGTGGCCACCCCAGCTCCAGCGCCTGCAGGAGCGAAC